CCCCTACTGTTCTGTGGTTCTGTGAAATTCTGGGAGAATCCAGCACTGCCTGCAGTAACATTCCCGGCATCGTACATAGTGGAAGCAGGCATAAAGACAAGCAAGTCTTAGAAATTACTTACTTTTCTTTTGACTGGAATTTTGTGTTCACTCACTGTTCCTATACATGATATAGGAGAATATATTATATAATATATAATATAGCAGAATATATTCAAAGCATTCATTAAATTGGCAATTAAAAAGATTCCAGGCTATTTTTTAAATACATAGTTTCGTGTGTTCAGTAATATTCTCAAGAATTTTGCCAAGGGATTTTGCACATAATGTTTTAATTCTGTTGATGATGCACTTTTTCTAACTATGTCAGGATTTATTTTCTTATTGCCTCTTAAGTCTCCTGTTATTCCTCTGTAGGTAAGAAATCTCTGCTACATGGTAAGCAGGAGAGAGAAACTGAAGTTGTCTCACAGTAAAGTACATGAACAGGTCTTCAATTTACAAGTTCAGCTCATTAATCAGGAAATTGCTGCAGGTAATCATATAAATGTAAAATATTTACAAATTCTATGCGTATTTAAACTAAAACCGTGTTCTTTTTTAGGTTCCTGCTTAGTGTTTTTTACCATTGTAAATCTGCCTTTAAAAACTTTGTCCAAGTACACAGTCAACAAAAGTAGCAACATACACAAAACACTTTAATCTCTTAAAACATTTACTTGGATATTTTTTTATTTTATGGCGATTTCTGGTATATGCCTATTACTTATCCATTACTAAGGAATCCAGATAGCAGAAACGAGCTGGTGGTGATCTGTGTTTTCACCTCCTTGGTTGCGGGTTTACAGCACTGTTCCCCCACAGCAAGCTCTCCGCGGCTGCTCTGTTTTCCAGCTGAGAAGGTTTTTTGGTTGCTGTCAGTAGTTGGTTCCTTCAGGCAAAACAGAAGAATGACTGATAGGAATCGCTGTTGTTCTTGTGTTGCATGCTTGATGAACAGTGCAAAGAGGCATTTCTTAGCCTGCTGACTGCAGTTACTCTCCTTGGTTCAAAAAGAGTTTAAGTACTCTGGGTTTTAATAGTGAATAGTAACTGCTTAGGAATGCTGATGTACCAAAACCCCCCCTGCCCTTCATTTTTATAGCGACCATCGGAAACAAGGAACACAGCATTTGGAAAGAGGAAGAGTATATTTACAGTGCAATTACTGTTGTTTTGGGGTTTTTTTTCCATAGGGAAGGCAGCTATTTCCTCAATTTAAAATTAAGACCGCTCTGTTCTTTCAAGATACATACTATGTTTTTATGACCAATTGAGAGTGACATCTTTGTGCTTTTTTTTTTCCTACCCTTGAAATATAGATTTCGTTAGTACTGACAAAGTGGGTTTTTTAAACTATTTTAGATCAGACTGGTACTTTGTGGAAGCAGCAGTACTCTAAAGCACTTTGGGTTTGTGTAAATGCATTTTATTAGAAATGTCTACTAAATTTATTTTATGTCTTTACAAATACACGTGTTTTTTATGCTTATTAGAATAGCTTGATGGCTACTTTGCAATGGTGCTGTATGTGTATAATATTATAAAGACTAATATATTGGGTGAAAAGACTTCTGAAGTCTAGAGAATTTTATAATACAAAGCAGAGAGTTGAATTAAGTCCAAATTGAAACTCAGTTTGAAGCATTGTTTTTTCTCCATCCAAAACTGATTATGAACCTTTTTTATAACTCTGTTGGAACTACTTCAGTCATATCTCAAAACTGGTTCAATTCACTGGCTTAAAGCCCCATAAAAAGGGCACATTGTTGTTTTTAATGGAAATGCTAAAATGCTTACCTAAATTCTGAAATGGTGGATAATTTGGAACGGTTTTCTTTATCCCAATTTCTCTTTAATGTCCTAAAATAATTTCACGCTAATTGTTTGCAAATGCTTCTTACTGTTCAATGACCTTCTAATGGACTATAAAACTTGTTGAGATAACAAAAGGATTATCCCCTTCTTTTAAAAAGCCTTTCTTTCTTCTGCTCCCTTGTCTCTTTCTCCTGTAGGCCATACCCTGACAAGTGCACTAGAGAACACACTGTTCTACCCACCTCCCAGGATCACCCTGAAGTTAAAAATGCCCAAATCAGCACTAGGAGATTGCAAAAATAACTCACTGAAACCTGGCAACAGACCACTTTCTCCTGACAACAACAGCACTGCTTACAGCAAACGGAGCGTGCCGATGTCAAAGGAATTGTTTGAAATTAAAGCAAAATCTTACTCCAGGTATCAGCATGACAGCAGAAGTAACGGGTTGCTGGCAGGGATTGGCAAGCCCCGGAGTGAGGTGAAGGATTCTGGCCCCATACAGATGCCGGAGTTTCACCGGGGCCAGCCGTCTGGGAAGCCCTTAGCGCTCCAAGCTGCTTTGCATGGACAGTCTTCCATTGGGAATGGGCGGGTGCAGCAGGAGAACTCGAGGCTGGCAGCCAAGTCCAACGGCCTGATGGGCAGGGCTGGAGACATAAGCCAGAGAGACAGCTCAAGCCAGACGCCCTACGAACAAGAGTCCATGCTCACAGCTCACTTGGCCAGCCAGAGCGGTTTCAGAAAATCTACTATAGAACACTTTAGCCGGTCCTTTAAAGAGGCTACCAACAGTCTGGTGAGGACCACAGAAGATCTCCGGTGCTGTGAAAAGCCAACAAGAAGACTTGCAACAAAAGATCGCTTGTGGAGCAAGCAGACGCTTGAAGGTGCTCCGTACCAGGACAACGACGGGTACTGTCCTGACTTAGAGCTGAGTGACTCTGAAGCAGAAAGCGATGAGAACAAGGAGCAAGTGAGGTTAAGACGAAGTAGCTCAGAGGGAGAGAGCCCAAGTAAGGACTTTGGAAGAGATTGTCACAATAGAAACAAAAAGAATATGATTTCTCACAGTTCGGTACAAAGGTGATTAGAAGCCCCCACGGGGTAACTCAGCCTTTATGTATTCCAGTGTACCAGTGCAAAGCTCCAGCATCAGAAGGTTCCAGAAAGTAGTCCAGGACCTACATTAGGAAGAGTTGCAGTAGGGGATGGGGGGAGGGGAGAGAAATCAGAATAGTTTTGTTCAACTGTGAATTGGCCTGCAGTCTTTGCAAGGTTAACTGCATTGTTACAAGGTCATGTGGAAATCGCTGTGCTTTATTAGAGGGTAACACCTGGGAGAGCACGAAGCAGTTAATCTTTGCGTAAATTCAGGAAACTGCTTCCCCGTTGCCAGCTTATGTGCGAGGCAACATGTTCATGTTACGTCAGCCTTGTGGTGGTGGTCAGGTATTAAAGAAGTCCTTGCATTGCTCTAACGTGGGTGCAAGAGGCTGCAAACGGAGACACTGAAACTGCATTCTTACGGCACCTGCAGTATGGCTTTGATCCAGCAGTGCACTTGCGGATGTGTTAGGAAGTTATAAGCGTGTGAAAAGTCCTGCTGGTTTCCCCCGGGAACGTTCGCGCTCAGATCTATGAGCGCGTGCTGGTGTGCTCTGCTGGATCAGGCCCAAAGTGACTACTAAGTGACGATCCTCCTCTGCGGGAGGCTTTGAACCACAGTGGTGTTTGCAGGCTCCTTGCGGAGGGTGGAAGCAGGCGTCGCTGGCGCTGCCAAAATCGCTGACCTCTAGACGTGCCCCCGCCCCGTTCCCTGCTCTTGCTGAAGGTTGTGTTTCTCTTCACAATAATTTGCTTATTTTGTAAATATACAACTTCTAGTACTTCAGTTTTTTTAATCTCTGTACATAGTTGCTTGTTGTGGGATGCACTTGTAAATATTTTACCCAGCTAACAAGTACAGATGGCTAATTTTGTGGATAGTGTTTACAAAAGTAGATGTACTACTTCAAAGAAAAATGCTATTTGACACTTAAATTTAGGCAATCACCGGTGATGCCAGGTTCCTCTTGAAACTGAGATTTCATGTCCAGAGGTGTTTGTACCTGGTATTTTTAAAATAAGCTGAATTAGAAATAATTTTGTCCAAACTTTTTATCCAGGCACAAATTTTCAACCCTAGTTGCCTGAGTACAGGCATAGGAGCTTTACTTCTGGCATCTAGGTCTGTAAAATTTTAGCCAATCATCATTTGGAGTATGTTTTGTTTTTTTTTTTTAATTGCTGAAAATCTATTATTTTGTTAAGCTGCTTTTCAACCTCTGGATCAGTTGCTGTTTCCCAAACTAACACTTTTTTTGTATGTCCTTTTAAAATTAGCAATTGTTAAGTAGTGATTGAATTTCGGCCAGTGCTGAGAAAGCGAGAAGGGAAAGGAATCCTTTTCTGTTTGTTTCACTGGCAGGGGATTTTTGCTTGAATGCCAACAAACTTCTTGTTTTCCAGATGGTGTTGTGTTGATCGACAAAGCAACTGCACTGTTTTTCTCTGAAACGCTGTACATTTCATAAATACGCAACATCCTCTCTCCCCACATCACTGGCTGTAGGTTGTATGGGGCGCTTCATATGGTTCCTTTCTGCTTCTAGACCAAATGAGCAAAAGGTGTTCCCTGCCCAGTGTGAAGATGACTATGCAGAATCCAACCAACCACCTGATTTTCTTCATAATCTTAATTTATTGCTTGTAGCTTGGGAAATGGCAATGACATTTTTAGATTGTTTTTAAACTTTGAAATCTCCCTAGTTGCAATAGGACTAGCAGGTCAGGGGCTGGAGGACTTTTCAGTAGTGAAATAAAAAAAAAGTACACTTGGCATTTCTGCTCTGTTTGCTTCATGCATCTTAATTATATTTTTTTTCACTTCTTGATTTTATGTATATTTGTGTAATTGATCTTTCTAGAGCTGTATCTTCAAAATTATTTCTTTTGGTGTAAATATGCAGTAGCATTTTAGGTTTTCACATATTTTATTTTAATGGGAAATGCTTTGTGTTCTAAGCCATGGGTCGTTCAGAATAAGTAAACAAATGTTCATTTGTATTCCAGTTCTGATTCTCTTAGTTCTCCTTCGATATTTATTAGTAATCCTCTCGCTGGTCATGAAATTTTATGAAGCTTGATTTGGGAACACTTCTCTGGGAGGTCAGCAAAGCATTCATGGTTTTTTGTGGCCGGAAGCCTATGACAGAAGAGAGGGAAAATGGTGCTTCAGCAAAACTCAGCGTTTCTGCTCTTCTGGGGTTAATTCAGTTGTTTCCAGTCCGGGCAATGGTTTTGCTAATTTTTACATGATTTTAATAGATATATGAAGGAGCCCTTGGTTATGTAGTTCTCAAGTATTGTCCCCAAAGTGCATTTGCTAGTTTTTATTGTGTGTTCGGTGGCTAACTGTTTGAAGTATTACCTCTTAACCTTATTTGTCAATTTTTTTTGTGTTTTTGCATTTTGTTTTATATATATAA